ACCTTCCTATCACCTGGTGTTGTTCCTTCCTATTACCTGGTGTTGTTCCTTCCCATCACCTGGTGTTGACCTTCCTATCACCTGGTGTTGTTCCTTCCTATCACCTGGTGTTGACCTTCCTATCACCTGGTGTTGTTCCTTCCTATCACCTGGTGTTGTCCCTTCCTATCACCTGTTGTTGTTCCTTCCCATCACCTGGTGTTGACCTTCCTATCACCTGGTGTTGTTCCTTCCTATCACCTGGTGTTGACCTTCCTATCACCTGGTGTTGACCTTCCTATCACCTGGAGTTGACCTTCCTATCACCTGGTGTTGACCTTCCTATCACCACCTTTGTGTTGAAGTAAATTCTGGTTACTGGACTTAGTTACCTATACTATAATTTTTGGCAGACTATGATAGAATAGTCTTGGTACCTAAACACTGACGCCACTACTACACTCCGTGACGCAAGAGGTTCTCTCCACCAGGTCCACACTATTTGAGCAGACTGATAGTATTATCGTGGGTCAAAGCTGATAAAGTGTTATCAGGTAATCACACTACGTCCTCCCAAGAGCCACTACGCAGCAAGCCCAGCGAGACATCAAGCCCTCATAATACCACATCGCGCACACCGACACCACCATATGCACCACACTACACAAATACCAGTACACACAACACGCCATCATATATAACCATACACCACACCTACACATTACATACTATACTACCCTGCATATTAATACACCACATTACACGCTACACTATCATACGTAATACCACTTTCATAGACTACACTACCCTACATAACACACCATCATACAAGTACATAACACCTACTACATCTTATACACTATACTAGTATACACGTCACACCATCATACATATACTACCTCACATTATATACACACACATTACAAGGAGCTAGTAAAAATAATGGCGTGAGAGAGAGAGAGAGAGAGAGAGAGAGAGAGCGGGACTAAGTGATGGCCATGCTTTGCTTGCGTACAATGTATTGTGCCAGGTTTCGGACATGATGAAGTTACCACTATTTTGAGCTATGGTGTTGATAATAGTGATGAGTGATAACTAAACAGCTCCTACTGCGACCATTACGTAATGACTAATCTGGTAAACGGAAATCCACGATGTGTCCACAGGGGTTCCGATGGATGACACAAACCTTGTTCTAGCAGTCCCTCTAGTACGAGTAACAGTGTTCTTCAAACATTGTGCAAAATTTCTAGTTTTCCCCAACATATATTTTGTTACATTATTTACGGGTAGTATTCTCCTTCAGTTGTGTATTTGCTGTATATACTAGATCTTTATTAATGTTAAAAGTTAAGTTGGCTACTTTAGCTGTGCTTTTAAAAATATGTTATCAGAGGTCCTGTTGGAAGCTAAAACTATGAATCTTTCTGATGTTTGTGACTGTCTACCTGTGTTGCTGAGTCTGCTTTTTTCTTACAATCGTTCATAAAAGAGGCAAATTAATGCAGTTTCGAGTAAACACTGTATATACATGTCCAGTCTCCCAAGTATTATAGACTGGAGATACAAAATTCCACCCCCCCAAAAAAAAATGACGATACCTCTTAGTATGTGCGCCATCAGTGGTGTATCCCGAGGAGAAGGGGGGGGTTAGGGGAGGGGGGGTTAGGGAGGGGGAGGGTTAGGGGAGGGGGAGGGTTAGGGGAGGGGAGGGTTAGGGGAGGGGGAGGGTTAGGGGAGGCTGAGGGTAAGGGTGATGGGCAAGTTAAGCCCATCCAAGTCAAATACTTCATTTTTAATTCCCTAACTCCGAACTAAAATTTTGGCTTCGCTACTGTGGGTTGTGGTGTGAGAAGCTGGATTATCCTTGTTGGTTGATATCATGTACACCTCAAACTCTAACACTCTAACTTGGTGTCGTTTTATATATACTATATATATATATATATATATATATATATATATATATATATATATATATATATACTATATACTATATATATATATATACTATATTTATATTATATATATATATATATATATATATATATATATATATATATACTATATATATATATATATATATATATATATATATATTATATATATATATACACATAAAAGTCACTGCCAGCGTGTCAGCGTGCCTCGTTGTGCTCCGGGTTTTTCGTGTTTTCACGGTCGCTCTTACGTGCTAGAACTTTAATTTGTGTCATCAATCCTATACGATACATCCCTCTAGCGCCTGGAACAAATCTTGGGCGGAAAACATTATATACTGAGTCAAAAAAGGAGAATTAGTGTGCACTAGCAGAGTTTACTGCCAGAGGGGAATCATAGGCCTGTCCCGTGTGGAAAAAAATAATAATTGAACTTTTCATGTCAGAGGAAAGAAAGTCTCCCTGATAACATTGAGTATACATAGTGTATAGTGTATACTACAGTGGCTCCCTAGTATAAATTGATGATAAAGGCTAAAATGTCATTTGAAAACAGGTGAATTTGTAAATGAAGTGATAAGCCTATAGAGGCAGGTGCCAGAAGTCGCCAGAACTTACCACAGGTCAGCTGTTTTTTTAATAATCTTCCTGGCTTGCCAGTGTACTCGCATATAATCTAGTGATACCAGTGATTAGCAGAATACAGTGTTGTAGTAGCAACTAACCAGTATTATAATGGTACTTTAGTGGAGTGGAGTGACTTTCATTAGTTTCTTTTTCTTGAAATACGAGACGTTACTGTGAATTTCATATAACCTGTAGTTACCAGCAGTCGAAATATACACAACGAGAAGCAATTATTACTACAGAAAAAGCGTCCTTCCTCCAAAAAATTTGCACAGTCAACTATAGTGATAATATAGCATTTATTGTGGTGGAGACGGAAAAAAGAAAAAAAAAAAAAAAAAAAAAAAAAAAA